GTGTCACTCTGTAGGTTGCGTCATACACCAAATCTTGTTAAGTATATCTAAACTTTTTTGCATGTGCTGTTTTCAGTTGATGTTTAGGGTGTTTCGAAGAGAAAGGTATCTTGGATGTGGGAGGTGTAAAACGAATGGTATGGAGTATATCACAGATAGAAGACCACTTGCAGAACCTTAGCGTAGATCCACTCTGTCCGATGACCTGTGAGTTACTATCTCACACCAGTTAAGAGCCCTTGATATGTTGAGTGTTACCATCGGAGCATAAAACAAATATACATATTCACATATACAATCATTATTAATATAATGGTGAGCAATTGGATTGCTCACCATTATATCTCACTTGGGTTGCCCGGGAAAGTCAGGTCATGCTGTTGGCCCAGTAGTTGTATAGTAGCAACATGGGCATAATATACTGTAGAGAATATGCATGTACTCTACATCATAAAGGCCGTTTGTTTACACTAAAGTGTTGCCACATTTTAAAACTATTTTTCAACACTTTTACTGTACCAAGTTTTTTCAATATTAGTTGCCTATGTCAGTGATTTGGGCCCCTTTAAAAAAAAAAAAAAAAAAAAACTCCAGCATTGAATGTAATGAAACGCCATTTTCTGGGTGAGTCCCAGAGGCTCCCCAGAGCTATACCGGGCTGATGTTTATGTATTAGACCGTGGCATCAGTCAATTCAATTGGAGTTCTAGCCTACCAGAGGACCATGAACCAGAACCTGGCCTCCTCAGAGGCGCACGAGGAGCAATGGCCTATAGAAACCCACATGTAGTTGGAAGCATTCAATGTCTGTCATCTACTGGGTGAGGCACCCAGAAAGGTAGGCATCTCAAAAACTCCACCTGGTTAAAATTGCTACCAAAAACTGAACTATCAAGTAGAACTCCACAATCTGAAAACAAGCAAAACGTCACAACCGCTGCCGGGCCGCTGTCTGTGCAGCTTCCCTCTCCAGGGAGGGGAGGCCCCAGATCCCTCACGCTGGCCATCCAACCCCCGTTCAGAGACTGAATATCAAAACACCAAAACTGCTGACCAAAGGGAGGGAGGATAGCCAGGGAGCCTTCGGGACTCGCCCAGAAAACTACGTTTCATTACATTCAACGCTGGTTTTCTGTAGAGCCCCCCTCTGGCTCTCCAGAGCTACCTAATCACAGAAAAAGAAAAGAGGGACTTACCCGGGAGGCGCCCACCACTTGCATCTCAATGTGAATTCGAGACAACTGGCTGCAACCTGCGACCCAAAGCAACACATGCCTGACAAGGGCCAGGACCCTGTTTGACCTTCAAAATCCTCACTCCCGAATGTCAGCCCAGAACATATTACCAAAAACGGCAGCTAAAGCAGCAAATTTGCGAACATCATAGGCATGAGGATAAACTGCAGGTTGGCTGGACCGAATAATCCTGCAGACGATCTGAGATCTGAGATGATTTCAGGGCTTAACGTCCCCGCGGCCTGGTCCTCGACCAGGCCTTCTGAAAGGAAGGTTTAAGCCGAATGGAAGGCAACGAAAGCGGTAATGCTGCTGCCCCACAACAAAACCGAGCCAGTCTTTGAACCCCGGATGAATCAAGATATGCCAATGTGTGTCCCAGAGGTCCAGGGACACCATCCAAGCACCCGACTCCAAAAGCAGCCGGACCTGAGACAGAGTTGTCATCCAAAAGGAGGGGCAAGAAACCAAGGGGGTTCAGACAAGACAAGTCCAGAATGAACCTCAGATCCCCACTATCCCGTTTCGAAACTGGAAACAAGCAGGAAACCCACCTGAGGGACGGCGTCGTTTCGACCACGCCCAAGCGCACCACACAGTCAGAGTAGTAGACAAATGGAATGCATTAAGAAGTGAGGTGGTGGAGGCAGACTCCATACACAGTTTCAAGTGCAGATATGATAGAGCCCAATAGCCTCAGGAATCTGTACATCAGTTGATTGACAGTTGAGAGGCGGGACCAAAGAGACAAAGCTCGCAAGCACAACTAGGCGAGTACTCCAGGATGACCTGACAAGAGTGCAGGGAAAAAGGCCTGTCCTGCCAGCCCCGAACCCCCCGAAGGAGGAGCCACCTAACACCACTGCAGGTTGAAGGAAACAACCCAAAATGCCCACGAATCGTGGGACCAAGTGAGAGCAAACAGTGCGAGCCTCCACAACATCGCCCCATCAACAGGGCATACCGCAAAAATGCTGACGACTCTTATGAGAGCTCGACCCACGCCTAGAGTGTGCACTGCACCAACCAGATGTCGATAGCTCTGCAGGAGGGGCCGGCCCCAAATCTGGCACCATTGGCTTATGACGATCGAAGGAACCCCGAGCTCAGGCATGACCCTTCTGAGCAGGACCCCAATGCCGGCGCCCCCCCCCTCCCCCCCAAGTACCAACAAGTCTCACATAGGCTGGCAACTACATGAAACTGCCTGCAGAAAATGCACCACCGCAAACTCTGCAAACAGCAACAGAAAAAAAAGGGACGAAAATCTAAGAGCCAGGGCCCAAGCAGATTCCAACGAGTGGATGAGCACCGCCTGTCGGGATGCAAGGTGAGAAGCAAAAAACAGACACAGCCTCCCTCAGAATCGGCGCAAACAACTTCAACAAGACAGCCAACACTAAGCCGTCGAGGCAAACGCACTGGACATTGGCTCGGAACACAGCTCCTCCACATCCTCCTCGAGCCAGTCCGAAGACAGCTCCAGTAGGTAAAAGTAGCTCCAGTAGCAAGACCGAAGCCAAATGACCACAGGCGCGCAAATTTTCAGCAACCAAATGCCATAAGGGAGGGAACCTGCACGTGTAGCTGCATCTGGCCGACATCATGAGGAAGCACAGGGGCGAACAAGCATGCAATGAAGTGCTCTAACCCCCCCCCCCCTCCATAATCCTGAACGACCATAGTCAACTCCCATCTCTCAACTGCGCGGGTCCGCCAGATTGCATGCCATGCCCCCAATGAAAAGAAAGCTCAGTATGCCAGCCAGGAAGACTCCAGCACCTCGTAACGCACCCAGTAGGGAAAAGAGAAGCCAAACTTAAAAGGAGGAGGATTCATTATCGAGGCATAATCCGGGTCACACAGGAGGTAAGTCGCAAGGGCCTCCCACTCCTCCCGAGGCAGAATGCGGGAAGCTGAAAAACTGAAAACCCCGGAAGGAAGGAAGGAAGGAACCGAGGAACCCAAGGGAACCTGGAACTGAACCCCATCTCAGACTCGTATAGGGAGGGGGGGATAGGAAAAACCCTCCCCCTATAACAACAAGCCCTGTGTAGAGGGTACCAACACCCAAGCAGGGGTCAAACAGGGCCCAAGCCCCCCCCCCCAAGTCAACTCCTCCCCAGTCCCAGGATCCTCTATGTCAGGACCCGTGGTAGAGCCATCCTCTAAACCCTCTGCCTCTGAAGAAAAGGCAGAGTCCACAGGAAAAGCAGGGAAGAAAGGGGGGGTCTACTAATGCGACCCGAAAGCCTTGGCAGGAGGAACAGGCTCGAATGCCTTCGCCGCTGATCCAGAACGGGCAGTCCCCGAAGCCATCCGAATTTCATCACCAAGAAAGTCCTGCCCTAACTATGAAACCCTCAGATGTTTGGGAGCCGGCAGCAGGGGCAGGAGGGGGGGGGGGGGAGGCAGGATGAACTACAACAGGGAAAAGACAAGGGGGCACGGCTGCCTGCATCCAAATATCAGTATCAGAGGATTGAGTGAACTGAAGCACAAGCAAGGAACACCACTCGCTGGACTCCAGGTCAAAGGTGTCATCGACCAAACAGGCTGCATGGTGAAGACAAAAATGGTGAATGTCACCCTGAGACAAGAGACAGAGCAACCTTCAAACTCTCACGAAACGAGGTGAGACTTGGAGGACGCATCCATTGGACCAACGAGCCCCAATGGAGGTTTCCAGGACCCTTAGGCTGACTGCAAGGGGAAGCCCACTCCAGGTACTGCTAACCGGTTATCCCAGAACTACCAAACAGACAAACAAAAAGCTGAACCCCTGCAATGTGTGCAATGAAGGGGACCTAGCCACCAAAAAGAACACACGTGGTCCTACAGCCACACCAGGCAGACCCCCCCCCAGACAAAACAAAACAAAAGCAAAGAAACACCCCACAAAAGTACAACATCTGCAGAAGGAACAGAACCGGCCGCTATGCGTAATATAAGACAGCTGCACAGTGTACCTTGTGCCCCCAGCCAGTGATGATACTACCTCCTACCCAAGGCCAAACAGAGGTAGGAAAAACCCCAGTTGACCCCAATGGCGGGGCAATCACCAAGCAGCAAAAGAATCCTGCAGAAGTAGTTCCCGAACAGTTTGTGGAAGGTAACCCACAAACTGCAAGGGCAGAATTACAGGGCACCTATAGGAGGTAACCCTAGGCACATGGTTATAGGGAAGTACTGGGGAGGCCCCGGTACTTCTTGAATTACTCCTGGCTCACATACCACCACAGCACACCACCACAAGGCACAGCACTGCTCAAGGACTGGAGCCAGAGTCGATAGACCGCCAATCAATACAACAGCCTCAGAACTGAGGTTGGGTAGCTGTTGCAGGAGTTCTGGGGCTCTCCCCCCCTTCCCCTTCCCAGGGAGGGGGGGAGCTGCATAGACAGCGACACAGCAGCTGTGGTCATGTCATGCCTGTTTGCTTGTTTTCTGATGGGAAAGTTCTGCCTGCTCGTTTGGCTTTCGGTTTGCAATTTTCACCAGCTGTAGTTTGTTTTGGGATTTCTTCCTTTCTGGATGCCTGACCTGATAGATGGCAGACAAACTGCTGCCAACTACATGGGGGGGTGTCTATAGATCATTGCTCCTCGCGCCTCTCTGAGGAGGCCAGCTTTTGGCTGGTGGTCCCCGGTAGGCTAAAAACACCATCGATTGACTGTTGCCACGGTCTAATATATACACACATCAGCCCAGTATAGCTCCGGGGCTCTCCACAGAAAAAGAGGTGGACTTAGAAACGGCACTTACCAAGCTGAATGTTCCTGATAATCAGTGAAGTTTGTGTGCCTCTCTTCACAAGCCGTTCAAAGTACACACCAGAAAATCCACTAGAAATGCACGACACAAAAACCGCAAAAATTCCTAGAAGGCGAGATACTTCTATGTTGGGGTGAGCTTCATTGTGCATGTCAGGTGGAGGAAAACCTGCACCATCTTCAGGTCCTCCAAGAAACAGTGAATCTGCTCCCTCCAACACTTCTACTGCAGGTACAGTAATAATCTTGCCACTGCTCACTCCACCATTACTGCCCTCCACCTTGAAAAAAAAAAAATTATAAGTAATGAAATGCCAGTTTCTGAGTGAGCCCTGGAGGCAATGAGTATTATTCTGTATAAAATGTATTTTTCATTTTAATATTCTGGGGTGTGTGGAGTGGATTAATTCAATTTACATTATTTCTTACGGAAAAATTCATTTCAGTTTTCGAATTTTCAGTGCATGAACCGTCTCTTGGAACGAATTAAATTCGTAAACGGAGAAGTCTCTATATTACCAAACACAGCCGACAGAGTCACAAACTTCCTAACCTTATGAGCACGAGGGTAGACCGCAGGCTGGCTAGACGTAATGACACTGCGGACAATCTGAGACACATGAGCCCTGGAAAAAGGAACTAGGGGAACCGTATCAACCCGGAGTGCATCCACCAACACAGAACCAGTGGCCCACAGGTGGCGGTGCAAAGCATCCACCGGATAACATATGATGCACCCCCGGCCGAACCAACCAAGCATCCACAACGGACCTGTCCAGAAGCCAGCCATCTCATTCTTCACCAGAAAAGAAGCCGGCTGCAAACAAACAAAATCCCCAGGACCAAATGAGCAAAACTCCCAACACCAGAGAAGAGCATGAAGCTCCCCCCCACCCAACCCCCAGAGGCCAAGGCCAACAAAATCAACATCTTCCAAAAACAATCACAAACTGAAGAGGCCACCACAAACAGAGAAGAAAGAAAGGAAAGAATCTGGTCCAAAGACCAAGACAGCTCAAGCTCAGGTGGTGCATGAACAGGCTAGAGGTGGAAAAATGCATGAGAAAGCTTACAGAAAAGGGGCAGAAGTGACATCCATTCTGAATGCAAGATGCAGTGGCTCCGCCAACGCTGCACAATAAGCAACAATATTTGGTATGAGATGCCGATCCAGGAAAAGCCAAGAGAAAAAGGACAAAACAACCTTGTCCGACACCGACAAAACTCAACGAAGAAAAAGAAAATGGTGGAAAGCCTGCCAAGAAACCTTGTACTGTCGCTGAGAAAAAGACTGCAAATGGAACACCATCAAAGATGCCACCTGATTACCATACAAATGACAATATACATACACATCAAAGCCCAGACGCGTAAGAGCAGAGATGATTGAACCAACGAGGTACCTCACCAGCTCCTCCTGAAAAAGATGGAGCCGCGGAAAATTGCCCAGATTCGGACACCCCGCAAGCAGCGCCTGAAACCAAGGCTGAGCAGGCCACTATGGGGCCAGGACTATCACACTACCCCGGAAGAATTCCAGCAGAGCCAGAAAACGGAGCAACAGCTGGACTGGGGGGGGGGGAATATTATAGGAACCCCAACCTTGACAAGTCCTGCCTGAAAGCATACACAGTACTGCGAGGGCCTCGCAATTGGGGAACGGCATCACATACCCTAGAATGATGCAGAGACCTCACCGACACGAAGTGATCCACCTCTGGGCACCCGTACATCTGGCAAAGCCAAAGGAAGGAAACTGCACTGACAGTCCACTACGTGGAAAGGAAACTAGAGAGAGATAGACTGTCCGCCAGGACGTTGGACATTCCATGAATGTAAACAGAGTGAAGAGTTAAACCCCAAGAACTCAGCAAGAGTGTTCCAGCGACCAGCCCCAAAGAGCCAAGGACCGAAGCGACCCCCTTCCCCCTGGCTGAGACAATAAACCACGGGGGAGAGCAATTCAAATGGAACCGGATCACCAAGCCCCGAGGACTCCGAACCCACCACAGCCCCAGCAACACTGCCATAAACTCCTGCACCATGCTGTGAGCCCAACTCATGGCCACTGCCAATGCCCCTGGTCAGACTGGTGAGCACTGGTCACAAAGCCCTAACAACAGACGTGGCATCCACGTAAACATCAAGTGTGGGAGAAGGATGATCGTCACCCTGAGGCAGGGGCAACGAGCAACCCTTAAATTTGCACAAAGCAAGAGTGAACTCTTAAGAAGTATTGATAATATGATTGAGCCTACTGAGGTTTTCCAGGGCTTGCAGGGTAAATGAGCCCTACAGGAAGCTCAGGTACTGGGCCAGCTATCCAGTAATCCCCGTCGATGCAGTAAACAGACCACAAGAAGCAGCCGTGAAACCTCGGGGGCAACAAACAAGGACCACCGCCACACCCTAGATTAAGCTTAATGATAACCAATGCAGACCCCCCCCCTCTGTTTTCTCCTGCAAAAAGAGGAGAAAATGGTGGTAATAGGAAGACAAAAATCCTTGAAACCTTGCAACAGCAATTCACCAATCAGAGAAACTCTGGCTTGCAGAATGAGAATGTATAGCAGGCTGCACCAACCACAGTGCGCTCCACTAGTTGAAAATCATACCCCTACTTGGGGCAGGTCGGAAAGCTCCATGTCCCCTGACACACGCCCAAGGGCAAAGAAAACCACAAAGAGGGAAGTCTACAAACACAAGAATGAATCTCGAACACCCCAAGTTAGAGAACCGTGAAAGGCGAGGGCAGTACTTATGGAGCACCTAGGGAAGGTGTACACAGGCGGGTGCAGCTCCAGTACATTCGAACATCTGGGCAATGTACACCACAAGTGCAGGAACAGCATCACAAGGCAAAAGCCCAGAACAGGCAACCGTGGCCAGAGGTGACATCCAACAGTCAAGCACATCAGATACATCCAACAGCCAAGCACATCAGATACATCCAACAGCCAAGCACATCAGATACATCCAACAGCCAAGCACATCAGATACATCCAACAGCCAAGCACATCAGATAAGAACTGAAGAGTGGGTAGGGCTAACAAGCTGGGGGCTAGTTAAATGAAGTGTTGCTTGTTTTTCTTCTTTCTGGGAGAGTTCTTTCGCTCTTTTGAGGATGTAGGTTGCATTTTCAACCAGACAGGGGTCTGTTTTGTTTCACCTACCTTTTTGGGTGCCTTCCCTGGTCGATGGCAAATATGACATACTTTAAGTGTAAAGTGTTCATAGGCCATTGCTCCTTGCGCCTCTCTGAGGGTCCCAGGTTCTGGCTTGTGGTCTCCGATAGGCATAAGAACTCTGTGACCGATGACCCAAAATAATATAGCCCTATATCAGTTTGGATAGCTTCAGGAAGCCAACAGGGCTCCCCACAGAAAAGAAATAAAACTGCACTGAATATGAATACAGTATAGTAAACATTAAATACATTTAAAGAAATAATAGGCAACCATTTAACTATTTACAAGGTATTATTATAAAATAAGGCTTATAAATCCATTTCAGTTCTCATCTTTCAACAATGACACTCCTTGCCTTAAAAAAATTCCAACCTCATTTAACCCTTAAATGGCGCATAGCTATATACCATTTGACACTCACAAGCGCATACCAAAAAAAAAATTATTTTTTCTTCCTAACCTGTTAATTTGTGTTCACTGATCACGGGAAAAATAATAAAAAAATCGTAAGTAGCATATATTGCCCGCTATATTGTGTTACATTCAGTGTAATCAAGTGTAATTTCATAGTGTAATTACATTACACTTACAGTTAGGTAATTACATTACACTTACAGTTAGGTAATTACATTACACTTAGGTAATTACACACACACACACACACACACTCATACACATACATACATACATACATACATACATACATACATACATACATACATACATACATACATACATACTGTACATACATTACATATACTGTACATACATACATCATTAAATTTATCACATGTGGCTATTCTAATCTGGCAGTCAAAGCAACCAAAACATTAAATGAATGGAAGAGCTTTATCATCATGGAGAGTGTGAACAGCTGATGACCAGTGCTAAATACAGTACATCAAGTAAATACAGTACAATACAGTATCTTGCATAAGAATAGATAAAGTTAATTTAGACAATTATATATGAGTATATCGAATAATGGGGAGCATAAAATACCTGAACGAGGGAAACACCCAGCATGAGCAGACAGAGAGAGAACCAGTGGATCGGCGCAAGACGTTTGCCGAGCATCACCCAGGAGAAAATGGCTGTAGTCAAGATCTTTAACTGGTAGGTAACCTGAGGAGAATGTGACTTTTACACAATATTAATCATGTAAATAACACTATGAATACTGCATTTTATAATAGAAAATCTCACTACCAACATTCCTCTATATTGTAAAACCTAAATATGTAAAGTAAAACTATAGCTTTCTAACCTGATATGTGGCAGCATCAAGATTGGAGAGAGCAACGAAAAGCAAGTTGTTTTGAACAACATACAAGAATGCTGGAATGACTAGTTTCAGTGTCTCCCACACATTGATAATTACATCTTCATACAGCCGATTCAAAGTTTTTTGTATTTCCTTACCTGTAAAAACAATAAATTTCAGTGTTAAGACATAAAATAATGTTTTAAATGCTGTATGTCTTGTAAACATAATATAAACACACCCAGTAAGTCTAATATCTCTTGGGTTCTAATATCTCTTGAGTGGCTTGGGTTCAATTTTGAATCAACCTTGATAATGTGGATTCAGAGTTCCTTTTGCATATTGTGACCATTAGGCAGTTGGTAAAGTTAGAAATTGTAAAAATGTAGCTTCAAGTATAGTGAAACCTTCAAACTCCAGACTTAAACATTTTTGAGCCATTCTAGATTAGGGTGAATTTCAGATATTGATAAATTTAGTGTATTTATAAATTTACAACACATTTTTTGCAGATATTTACACAGTATTATATCTATTATATATTATGGTCTGACGCCTAAAAGCATTTCGCAAGGACTTCTCACATTTTCAAAGACAGAGTTTTACACACATCATTTCATGCTTATTCTTTGGGTGAGGTGATATGACACAAATGTTTTTGTGTGAGGTGACAAAAGACAGAACACGAATCAATGGGTATATTGCATATTTGCTGCTTCTTGCTGCTTCTATGTTGGTTGGGGTCTTGAAGTGGGTAGAATATAGTTATGTGTTAATTGACTGTTGATTGCTGGTGTTGACTTTTTGATGTGTAGGGCCTCGCTGATGTCAAGTCTCCTGCTATCGCTGTATCTATCGACGAGTTCTGTGTTGCTTTTTAAGATTTCTCTGGCGATGGTCTGGTTGTGTGAGGAGATTATATGTTCCTTGATGGAGCCCTGTTGTTTGTGCATTGTTAATCGCCTAGAAAGAGATGATGATGTCTTGCCTATATACTAAGATCTTTGGGGCTGACAGTCCCCAAGTGGGCATGTGAAAGCATAGACGATGACATTTTCGAGGCATTCTGTTTGGTGTTTGGAGAGTTCTTCATGAGTAGGTTGGTCTCTTTCTTGTTTTTGTAGTAAATTGTCAATTGAATCTTCTGATTTTTGTCTGTCTATTAATATGAATGTTTGATAACATTCATATTAATAATAACTTTCAGGACACTTTCCTCCGTTTTATGAGTCGCCGGAAAGAAGTTCCTGCAACACAGTCTAATAGGGGGTACAAGTGTTGTGATAGTTGACTCTTCAGAGGTTACATGGAATTTCATCTTTCTTTTTTATGACGACTTCAACATAACCGTTAGAGAAGCCATTGTTGACTAGGACCTGCCTTACCCTACAGAGTTCTTCATCGACCTGCTTCCAACCAGAGCTGTGAATGAGAGCCTGGTTGACGTAAGCATTGACAACGCTCCTCTTGTACCTGTCTGGGCAGTCACTATTGGCATTAATACTATCACGCCGCCAACTTAGAGGTCATGCAAAAACGTATTTATAATCTTTCAAGTGTTCTGACATCAAGTTTCATGTTACATCTCTCATTTTGGTATCAAATTGTGCGCACTCTAAAGGCGCTCATTTTGAAACTAGCCCGAAGTCGATCGGATACAAAATGAATTGTATACAAATATTTTTGTATCAAACGTGAGGACAGTCCGATGCTCGGACTCTAGAGAAAAAATCAGACGCCGGGGCATTCCAAGAATGCGATAGTGTTAAGGCACATTCCTATGTTTGTTTCTTTAGTGTAGACTGTAGTGTGGAAGCCTCCATTCCTTTCCGTGATTGTTACATCTAGAAAGGGCAGCTTCCCATCACTTTCCATCTCGTAAGTGAAACTTAACACCGAATTTTGCTTAAATGCCGCCTTCAGCTGCTGCAGACGTCTGACATCAGGTATCTGCATAAAAATGTTGTCAACATACCTGCAGTATATGGCGGGATTTCAAGTCCATGTCAACTAAGACTTTCTGCTCTATGGTATCCATGTAGAAGTTCGCAAACAGGACACCTAGGAGAGAACCCATGGCGACCCCATCTACTTGCTCATACATGTGCCCATCGTAGGCACCCTTCTCGAGTCCCGCTCATTAATGATACGCGTCTATAATTTAGAGGTTCTTGACTACTATTTTTAGATTTGTACTATGTTTGCCTTTTTCCATATATCTGCTAAGATTCCTGTGCACAAGGATGTCTGGAATATTAATTGAAGTGGAATGCTCAGCTCAGTTGCACATTCTTGCAGCACCCAAGGTGAAACTATCAGGTCAAACTGCTTTACTTCTTTCTAGCCCCATGAGTAATTTTACCACTTTGTCTTGAGATACCTCTATGTATTCTATGGCGTGCTCTGGAATTGGTATTAGGTCTGGCTCTCTGAAATCCTCATTTTGTACAAACACACCTCGGAACTGTTCATTTAGTGTTTCACACATTTCTTTTTCATTTTCAGTAGTCTTGATCCCTGTTCTCAGATTTTATCCTTTACATGCAGCTTGCTTGTATATAAAACAACCTGGATCCGTTTTACATTTGTTCGCTATACCTTTCTCAAAGTTCCTTTCTGCATCTCTCCTCACTGCTCTGTAACTGTTTCTTGCTTATTTGTATTGCTGGTGTTTGTGGGTTAAGCCTCTTCCGATATTGAACCTATTTTCTAGTCTTTTCCTCTCTGGCCCTTTCATAATTTATGTTGAACTAATCCTGTTTTCTGGCCCTGCATCTCTGTTTTGGTAATTACCTAAGTGTAGTTACAGGATGAGAGCTACGCTCGTGGTGTCCCGTCTTCCCAGCACTCTGTCATATAACACTTTGAAATTACTGACGGTTTGGCCTCCTCCACCTTCTCACCTAACTTGTTCCAACCGTCTACCACTCTGTTTACAAAAGTGAATATTCTTATATTTCTCTGGCAGCTTTGTTTCGTTAATTTAAATCTATGACCTCTTGTTCTTGAAGTTCCGGGTCTCATGAATTCTTTCCTGTCCATTTTATCGATTCCTGTTACTATTTTGTACGTAGTGATCATATCGCCTCTTTTTCTCCAATCTTCTAGTGTTTGCATATTTAATGCCTCTAACCTCTCCTCGTAGCTCTTGTCCTTCTGTTCTGGGAGCCACTAGTGGCATGTCTTTGCACCTTTTCCAGTTTGTTGATGTGCTTCTTAAGATACGGGCACCATACAACCACTGCATATTCCAGCTTTGGTCTAACAAAAGTCATGAACAATTTCTTTTGGTATTTCTCCATCCATGTATTTAAAAGCAATTCTGAACTTCTGAAATTAGAAAGTGTAGCATAGGCTCCTCGCACAATGTTCTTAATGTGGTCCTTAGGTGACAATTTTCTATCTAGAACCACCCCTTGATCTCTTTTTGTCAGAATTCTTTAACGATTCCTCACATAATTTATAGGTTGTGTGGGGTCTATGTTCTCCTACTCCACATTCCATAACATGGCATATATTCACATCAAATTCCATTTGCCAAGGGGCTCCATATACTTATTTTGTCCAGGTCTTCTTGAAGGGCATGACAATCATCTAAGTTTCGTATCTTCCCTATTATCTTAGCATCATCAGCAAACATGTTCATATAATTCTGTATTCCAACTGGTAGATCGTTTATGTAGACAATGAACATTACCAGTGCAAGAACTGAACCCTGTGGTACTCCACTTGTGTCATTCCTCTAATCCGATATACTGCCTCTGATCACTGCCCTCATTTTTCTATCAGGAAATTTTTCATCCATGTTAGGAGCTTACCTCTCACCCCTCCAATATGTTCATTTCCAGAACAACCTCCTATGTAGAACTCTGTCAAAAGCCTATTTTTAGGTCCAGATAGATGCAGTCAACCCAACCATCTCTTTCCTGTAAAATCTCTGTGGCTCGATCATAGAAACTGAGTAAATTCGTTACATAGGATCTTCCAGATCGAAAACCATACTGTGTCTGATATTATACCATTTTTCTCCTGGCATTCTACCCATTTAGTTTTAATTATTTTTTCCAATATTTTTACTATAGTATTACACTTGTCAATGATACAGGTCTATAATTGAGGGGGTCTTCCCTGCTGCCACTTTTGTAGATTGGAGCTATTTTAGCCTTTTTCCACACATCAGCTACAACTCCTGTCCTGTAGACAGTATGAATGTTTTCATATCTGGTATGATTGGTATGTTTGGTACGTGGTATGAATGTTTCTGTGCCTTCATTGTACATTTCACAAAACTTGGCATACTAGGCATTTACTTCCTTGCCTAGCAACAAGTCTGTCCAATTAAACACATTAATGAATTGTCCAAGTTCCCCATAATGTCCTCTCTTGAAATCGAGTTTATCAACTGTTTCCATGTCCCCTTTCTCTTCTAGATTATATCGCAAAGCATGTTTAATTTCCAACAGGACATGATCACTCTTTCCCAAGGAAGGAAGGTACTGGATGTCAAATATCTCTTCTTCTTTCCTGGTGAATATTAGATTCAATACTGATGGAACATCCCCTTCCCTCATTCTTGTGGCCTGCTTAACGTGTTGATACATAAATTTCTCCAGAATGAGGTTTACAAATCTGCCTGTCCAAATGTCGTCCCTTCTTGCTTTGTAGGCCTTCCAGTCTATTGGTTTCAAGTTTAAGTCCCCCAGTACCAACAATCGTTATAGATTTTTATCTGCTTTTACTATAATGTCTCTCATGACCATTATGAGGCCCTCTTGTTCATCCAGTTTCTCCTTTGTCTATGTGTTACTTGTTGGTGGGCTGTAGGCATTTACTATTATCAGTTTATCATCCCGATTCCAGACCTGCAATGCCACTATGTCAACCTCCCGAGAGTTGTCGATTATTAACTCTCCTACCTTCACGTGTTCTTTCCACTACAGTCACACTTCCCCCTTTCCTAGTTTTTCTATTGCCTCCAGAGTAATCCCTTGGGAATACAACCTCATTTAAAATATTTTCTTCAAGTTTTGTCTTTGTTAGTGTGACAATATCTGGGACCTAAAACTGAATTATAACTTCAATCTCCAATATTTTTTCTCACACCATCTATGATAGTACAGTTCAGTACATATATGTAATTTTCAGAAACATGTTCCCTCTCCATTTGTCCCCTACTCCTTCCTCTAATATTGTTGGTGTGTTTTATGTACCATTTCACAGGCTTCCCAATCCATATTACCTTATAGGAAAAAAAAATCTTCATTTCTTTTTCCATTTAAGTACGGTACGTATATGTTTCGCTCCATTGTGGATAAATTTGAGCTTTTCTGTCTTCCTTTGAGAGGTCTTGTCCTAATGACTAAAGTTTCCCATCCTCATTACTCTGCAATTTCCTGGCATTTCTAAGCAGTTCCGTCATTTTTGTCTCACTCCATAAAAGTTACCTTTAAGGTACGATTCTTTTCTCTCATATTTGCCTAATCTCCTAATATCACTGGATTTTACTTTGTTGTGAGGCCTCCTCCTAAGCCTATTATTTTAGCAATGATTTTTCCTCTTCTGCTGCTCTTTTTATTCTAGATAATATTTCATTTTCTAAACACCCAAAAAATTATTATGGACTTGCTTCTATCTGCAGTGTATGTGTGTGTGTGTGTGTCTGTTCACGCATGTGCATACATAAAATGAACACTTACCAGACTCGATGTGCAAAAATCCCAAAGAAAGTCCGAGCTTCAAAACTTCTGACGAGAGAACAGCTGTGGTGATGATGTATGACTGATGATTAGAATAACTTGAGGTACGGCTATAACGCAGAAGTAATACCATCGTTGATGTCTGCACAGAGAGCACCACCAAGCTAATGGTTTTAAAGGATAAATGGCGTTTCCAGTTCCATCCTTCCGTGGCATGAGCATCCATACCATCAACTGTCCTCTTGCTCATCTCAAGTGTTGCCTGTACAGTACATATGTATTAAACATTTCTACAGCCATCATTTCCTGGCATGACCATTCACACCTCTCTACTATTTGTTATCACACTTCACCAGTACAAGCAATCAATAATGTTCATTAATACCTATAAACAGTGCAATATTGTACTTAAAAATGCTTTCTTAACAAATATTGCAAAACAAATCACTACACCTAATAAGTTTGATTGATTAAAATATGCAATGGTGATAATGGTACCTTTATTTGTTAAAATTATTCAAATGGAGGATACAATAAATTATTATTCTTAATTATGAATTAACACACCAAATTTTAAAATATTTGTTAAAATTCTATTTATTGTGCTATTATTATGGGACGAGTTTTAAAATGTGCGCCTTTATATTGGGAACAATTTGATAACAAAACGAGCGATGTAACATGAAAATTGATGTTATCAAACTGAACGAGTATACACATTAGGTTGTGGTGTGCAAATTGGTGCTCGTTCACGGGTAATTTTAGGCTTTGCTGCAGGGAGTCTCGCCAGGCTTTTGGACATTATATGCATATACATCTGCAGGGAATTTAATTGGGAACACAATGATACCAAAAGGAACGACGTAGCACGAGAATTAAGGCGAGAAAACTGAAACGAGTATACACATTTTACTGATTTTGTGCGCTCACGGGTAACTTTTCCGACATTGGGCTTTGCTGTGGGGAGTCTCGCCAAGCTTTTGGACATTATATGCATATACATCTACAGTGGAACCTCTATTAACGAGTTTAATCCGTTCTGGCACCGAGCTCGTTACCTGGAAAACTCGTCTTAAGAAACAAATTTCCCCATTTAAAATAAAGGAAATAAATTTAATCCATTCCACTCCCAAAAACATCCATACTTGTATGACTTTTTTATGTAAATATAATACTGCACATGTAAATATAAATGTTTTGTTGTAGTGTTTTAATATTTACTTTACCTTATGAAGAGTAGTTGCTGGCTTGAGGGAGACGATGGGGAGGTGGGAAGGAGGAGAGGGGTTATGGTGTGGAAGGAGAATCCACCTCTGAGTCAGGCGGACTCTCTCTTCTTGGGAATTTCACCCAAATTTCATTTCAAATGTCACACAAGGATGCGTTGGACCAGCACCAAATAAAAAACTACGTCGATTACACTCGTTGTGTCAACAATATAATAGTCTTACCACAAAGATACAATACAATGCCGTTTTCTCAAATAGGCAATGTGGTTATTAAAGAAAATGGAAATTTCATGGCAAACATGTATACAATCCCCAAGTCGATCGGATAAGAATTGGATTTTATAGAAATATTTGCTCAAATGACGCTTGAGCGTGGTGTTTGGATGCATTCAAGAGAAAAAAAGTGTGTTACGTTCAAGCGACATATACCTGCGAAAGTGATACTGTAACACTTTCATAAATTGTTATCACAAAGTGATAAATTAATTAAACATTTTCACACACTGGGTTGTCACTGCTTTATCAGGGCAGCTTTTCCAAGAATGCGTTCACCTTTTCAAACATTCCAAACACTTCCCTGATCTCAGTGGAAGAGGCAGCATCCTCCCTTACCTCCTCATTCCCTTGCTAATGGTGTAAATTGTTGACGAGGACCTGCCATACTTCCTTGTGAGATCAATCACACAGACACCACACTCATGCTTTGCTATAATTTCCTTCTTTAAATTCACAGTAATTGTGTCTTTCTTCCTCTTGACAACACTATCTTTAGCAAGCAGCTTCTTTGGAGACATCGTGTGTTACAAATTGTAGTCGCAAAACCACTAAAACCCCAAAGAAAAGCATAAATAAATCCAGAGGGATGCTTATCGTGTGCGATACAACAACAACAACAACAACAATGGCGTCGGAGGCGTCCGAGAATTTGCGAGAACCCGCAAGATGCTAGGAAGCACCATGTGGTTTTGCTCGTTAATAGAGGCGAGCTCGTCAATAGAGACAAATTTGCTGCGAGTGGCTTGCTCGTTACTGGAAAAACTCGTTAATAGAGCCACTCGTTAATCGAGGTTCCACTGTACAGGGAATTTAATTGCGAACACAATGATACCAAAGCGAACGACGTAGCACAAGAATTAAGGTGAGAAAACTGAAACGAGTATACACATTTAGGCGTCGCCGCACACTAGTCCGCACCATTAACCCCGTGACATCAAAGTCTGTGGTGCTCACGTGGCGCGGGCAATAGTATTAACAAAACATCGAAATTGTACTTGCTTTGGCTGCTATGGGGTCCATAAGTTCGCGTATGACGTCATCAATCCCTGCTTGCTCGTGGCGTACGCCCTCGGGGCCGGTAGGGCGCCCGAGTCAAGATGCGCGAGTTGCCACAAATATATTTTTGTTCATTTTTTGCGCACAGTTCCAAATACATTTTATTTGTTTTTTCATGCCAATCCTATGTATAATAAACACGCACACTATATTATGGCAGAAGAACATCAGTACTGTCCGAAGACACTGTGTTACGTGCATGACACGTGTGTACACATGTCCGGCACATATTTCCAATGTATCATGCTAATTTATGTATATATACAATCTATTTACACACTGTACAGTACCACACACTATTACACACACTATAAACACACTCAGAACTCCCCGAGTGTGAGCTGCCACACCCAGCCAGTCCTCACTCACTCTTCCCAACATCGTACTCGCCATCACCCATCCTCCCACCATACTGTTATTGACACCAATGTTTCATGTTCATTCATGTATATTTACAACATATTTACACACTATACACTGTCACACACTATATACAGTCATCATCAACACACTCAGAACTCCGCAAGTGTGAGCTGCCACACCCAGCCAGTCCTCCCTCACTCCAACATCTTACTCGCCAACATTGCTCCTCCCACCATACTGTCATTGTTTTTATTACACTATTTACACATGTTATGTATACCTATCTACATGTTTTTTTCACCAGAACTATGCAAGTAAGCCGGTATTGTGTCCAAACAGTACCGTGGCCACCATACACTGCATGTGAAATCACACAGCAGCCAGCAGACGACGGTACGATTACGACGTCACCTCCCTCACCAAAATAGCTCCTCCCAACATACTCCTGTTGCTGTGATTGCACTATATACACACATTGTATATACCCATGTACAAATGTGTTCACCATAGCGAACCACTAAGACCATAGAACCACAATGGGGAGCAAAACAAGAGTGGTTGCCACACACGGTGAGGCTATCACTATTCCCTCCCTCCCTCACCAAAATTCCTCCTCCCACAATACTACGCACATATGTACATGGGTACATACACACGTTGTATATACCCATGTACATGTGTATTCACAATAGCGAACCACTAAGCTAGTATGGTGAGTAAAACAAGAGTGGCTGCAACACAGTGATGCTATCTGGAGTCTCCCACCAAACCTCCTCCTCCCACAATACTACACACAGCACTAATTATCAACACAATCCTGCTATTATCACAATCCTGGTCACTAATTCCTGTAAATGAATAATTGACCACAAGTTTATTTCATAAAGGAACCTACGAAGTCTGACGATTCCTAGATGGACGAAATAATGCTGTGGTGCTGGTGGCTAGCGCTGTGAACATTGTGACCAGCATTGAATCACTGATATTTGAACATTGTACCCAGTCATTATCACACTCAGGCTCTTCTGTAATACTATCATGGCTAAATAATACACGTTATATATATATTTTAACATTATTAGGTGATGCTGTGGTCACAATGCTGAACAGCAGAGCTGTGAGCTCATGCTGCATGAGCCAGCCTTGGTTGCTCATTCAGTATTGAGGCTCTCACACCCAGGAATGTGGCCCACGATTTTTTTTAAAGATGGTGTCTGTTTACAAGAGCCCTGAGGAAGCTGATGTGAACTCCATGTAGCCGCGGGAGTTTTGAATGGTTCGTTAAAAATATAAATACCCGGAGGCGTGTTGCGCACCCCCGTCGATGGCCTGCAGGCGCGTTGTGCAGTTGAGGGGTAAAATGAATTGCATATAGAGTGAACTTAATTAGATTGCATTTTTTTCCATTGGTTTAAGATCCTCTTATATTACACAGCATTTCAGCCAAGTCTTCAACCTAAGAGAATGTGAAATACATGAGAGTACAGTACTGTATTGACATAATATGGGTTTATATAATAAATCCTGAACTATTACTTAAAATAGTTCACAAACATTATTTAATTTATATTGTTAGAGGAGAATAATGTTCATATTTGCCTGATGGCTACCATCTATCTAGTGGCTGTGATGGGGACAGATAACCAGCACTTTATCAAAGGTCACCCGTTTTCCCGAGAAATTTTCCAACTACTGTATTTCGAACAGCAGTAATGTCTTGGAATTTATAGTTTCGGGGGTAGGTGGTTTCATTGGTTTAAGACTGAGTGAAAAAGCAGCTTATTTTCTGTCCTACATTGTGGCTTGTTAAGCTTGAAGCTGTTACCCCATGTGTGTATGTGTTACACATGACATTTTCAATTAGTGGTCTGGATTCGTATCCTCAAATTTGTCTAGTATTTTATAAGTTTCTATGAGATCTGCCTTGTTAGGTCTGGATTGTAGTGTTGATACTCCTGCGGGCCTCAATCAACCTTTCTTGATATGAGATGACAACTTAGTTATGGGATGATTTTTTGGCACTGCATGGTGTTTCTCCAAAGCAAATACTGCATGTCCTTTTAAAGACGAATCCAAATGGGGGCACACCAGATATTTGTACAATTAAATAACTACTTTCTTTTTCTTTAAATCAAAGGTTCGTTTGACTATTCTTCAGGATATGTTGGCTTTCTTTTTACTGCAGCTCCCACTTGTTGCGTAACTTCCAAAGACTGGTGAATTCTGACTCCAAGGTTCTTTTCTTCTTCAATCTGCTGCATGACAGGTTGTTGATATGATAGTTGTGATGTGCACTATTACGACCTACATGCCAGGTTCTGCATTTGTTAATGTTGAA